GTGCTTTGCAACAAACACACGGTTTGACAACACACAATACATTCTTCACGTTTTCTTGAGCTAAAAATACTTTCAGTTACTCTGCAAATTCCTTCTGTGTTCATACATGGTTCTCGTTCGCTGGAACTCTTGTTTGTGTGCTGAAACATTAGTTCGTAGTCATCGTATCCTGGGAAACGATTGTTGCAACGCTCCTAGCACTGTGGGAGGCAACAAATACGTTTTAAGGACATCGTGCGTAGCACGAGCTTTGACTAATTTTGCTTCATCTCCTTTCTTGTTTTTCTCTAGTCATTTTATTTAATTAATTTATTTTAATTAATTTCCTTTATTTTCCGAAACACACCCAACAGCTAATTCAACATGAATTTGGTATATGAATATGTAAAACTCTATGAACACTTGTTTTTAACATGGAAACGTGAAATGGTGAAAACAACCTGACTTTTCGGGCTAACGTCCTAGCCACTATCATTTTATTAATCTTTACTCACATCATTACATTGTACAAGAGCTCCCACTGATGGAGTTTACAGGCTTTTATATGCTAAGAATGAAGAAGAACTAGTAGGAGGGGAGAGAAGAACTAGTGGAGGAGGGGAGAGAAGAATCCCAAATATGGAGGGAAAGCCTGTTATTTATAGGAAAAAGGTGAGGAGAGGGGTTGCAAATCTATCATAATGCATTGGACTTCCGGATTAATAGTAGCTCGGGGTTCAATACTCCAACAAATATCATATCGAAAATCATAAAATCAAATCTCAGATGCTCAACACAATCTACAATTAAAAATAATTCATTAGTTTCCTAGCAACATGTACTGACAAGCTTTCAAAACTCTCTTCATCAGCACTTATAGATTTGAATATATTGAAAGTTTAAAAATGATCATTTGAATACATAAAGCTCTTCACCATTCAAAAAATCTTTCTTCATTTATTTTTAAAAGGGCTGTTACAAAGGGTGAAGAGTTCGTGATAAAATCATGTTTTATGGCTAATGCCTCCAATTCAGTTCCCAAATTCAGTGTTTAGGAGATGTGATATGAACACAATCTTCTAAAATAAAATTTACTATCTACCGCATATCTATTAAGTGTGTGAGACTCAACAAAGAGCATTGACAACGTATATAAATTATAAACTACAAATTTACGCCTTTTATGGACAACTACCAACCAATACCTTTGCGCACACCTGATAGAGCATTTAATATTACTAAAAAGAACATGTACTTATACATCTTAAATTAAATGCAATAGTATATAATGCACTAAAAAATATGGAGTAGTAAATAATCAATTTTGAACAACACTTGTGTATACAAACCAAGAATAAAAGATCATAAGATAAACAAAAATAATAATTTACATATAGCCTTAAGTAAATGAATGTATACACTTCTTTTTTCAAATTCTTCAACTTCTTTAGATCATTAAAGTCTTTCACCATTTTGATTCTTTAAAATTACTTCTAAAAAATTACCCACAGTTCTTTTCTTAAATAAAGTGGACTCACTATTCACACTTTTATTTTAGTTTTCTTAAGTAAGAATAATTCATAAACCATGCCTACAACTTTCTTTTGGTCAGGGATTTTATTCCTAGATGTCAATTCATGGACACGACTAATTAATTTCTTCCTTTCAACAACCTGAAAGTACTTATACATAACTATAAACTCACTATGTTTCCATTCACACCATTATTATCGAAAGTATGAAAAACTAATGTACTTACTAGTCACATCATCTGGTTCGTTAGTAATGACTGGTTTTTGTCACTTCGCGCTTCATATAGAAGACTTGACTTGCATCTTTTCACTCAATGATTTCTTGAGCACTTGTACTTCCATAAGCGGTTTGATATAACTTTTCTCGCATTTAAAATAAATGTAGTTGTATAGGGCTAAACTACGAGTGTCATCTACATAGGGATAGAAAATAAGAATTAAGTATTAAATAATTTCAGCGATTGAAACAAAAGCGTTTGTGTGAGATTTGATTCTTTGAATTAAAATTGAAACTAAAATAAAGCTTATTAAACTGTTCTTTTGAATTAATCACAAGAAGGGAATATAGATTGATTTCGGAGGCAACCAGATTTTAGGGTTTATCGGACTTAAATACATGAAAATTATTTAATTGAGCAACTCAGGTCAATACAAAGTTCTTACGGCTCTCGCGGCGTAGAGTACAACGATTTAGAAGACCAGACTGATCTCTCTTGCGACAAGGTTCTAAAATCATTGCCAAAACGAGCGAGCGTACGGCTCCCTAACCATGCTAATCTTAGTGAGTGATTACGTGTGTGTGAAGGTGTTCTAGAACAATTTAGATCTCTCTTAAATTATTTTATGTGCAATTATAATCATAGTGATCATTCTAAGTTACAAAAGATCAATTATATTATTCACTCACAAATTAAATTAGAATCATTCGATTAAACTAACCATCAAGAACATAACTTTAGATCGTGATTAACACCGCTTCATCAATCCCAAATCCTTAATTAAAACTACTAACAATTCGTAATTGACGAATCAACAAAATTGATAAGGAAAGATTAAATTGTCATTAATTAAAAAGATAGAAAGAACTAACAAACAATCGCATATTTTTGAAGATTCAAACCTGAAAACCCATGAAAGTATTGTCTCAGGCTTGTCTCTAAACTGAGTCTAGCCTAAAACTGGAGTTTACAGACTAATTAAATAGAAAACGATAAAAAAGGCCGATATTGGACTTTTTGGGGCGAAACATGGTCGTTCTCAGTCGCGTGCACGACCATGCGCAACTGCCAGAGAGCAACATTATGCGCGCAGAGCGTGGTGAACATAGATTCATACTCGAAACCCAACCCCATAATAGTAGACTTGAGCACTTCGTGAGGGGGAAGAGGGCAATTAATAATAGCAACATCATCAACCAAAATTTTAATCTCCCTTAAATAATCATCCATAGACTGATGAGGTTTCTTTTTTATTTGAGAAAATAATCGCTTTAATTCCATAGACTTGGCCAAACTGGCTGACATAAATCGAGATTCTAATTGTTCCCAAATTTCACAAGAATGTTTTAAATCCCGAACATCAATAAGAACATCACGAGAAAGAGTGGCAAACAACCATGAACGGATGGTTTGGTTAATGCGTAGCCAAGTAGAAAATTCGGGATTGGGAAAGTGACGGTTAAGAACATGTATGGAATAAGCAGGAGGTACCTGAATTGAGCCATCAACAATGCCAAGGAGACCCTGCGAGACAAGGAACGACTCAAATTGAGTCCGCCACGTAGTATAATCTTCCACCGCTAGAAGCTTAGTAGTCACGATGTTGGTGACATTGGTCGCCACGTGTGAGATGGTCTGAGCAAGTTCACCCAAGGGAGAATTTGAGGGGCTGCTTGCTGGTGTCCGGATAGAAGAAATTCTCGGCGACCCAACAAAGGTGGGGCCAGCGAACGAAGGAACCAAGAGGGGAGGCGGTTCAAGAGGAACTTGTTGTACCGGGACTGGTGCTGACCAAGGGAACGTCGGCGGAAGGTGCTGAAATAGAGAATAGAGCATGGAGGAGTGGCTCGGTGAGGCGAAGCTAGAGGAGATCGCTGGCGGTGTGATGCCGGCGGAGGATGCTGCAACTGCCGCGACGGAGGAGCTGGATGTGGTGGAAGTTGTCGCCATGGGAGACGTTGCGGAAGAGGTAGGCACGGACAACATGAGTTCTGCGGCGGCGTTGGCGTAGAAGAAGTCGGCGGCGGCTGTGGGTTAAGCCTAGCGGCACCGAATCGTAAGAGAAGCGTAAAAAAAGGGGTTTTAGTGTGCTCTTGATATCATGTGAGAATAATGGAACAAGATGCTCTCTAAGGAGCCCTTACAGATATATTTATAATAAGAGAGTTTAATGTAAAGTAGAATACTAATGGTCTAATAATTCTATTAGAACCGGGCCCGATCCGGACCGCCCCGGGCCCGAACCCGGTTTATACCCGGGCCGGTTCCGGTTCACCCTTTCCCAAAAAAAAGCCAGCCCGAGACCAAGCCCGACCCGGAACCGGCCCGACCTGAGTCCACCCCTAGCCTTCAGTATTTAGTATTATATGGTATTACCGAATACCAATTTTTTGACAAAAATTGCCTTAAATATGAGTAAAATATATATAAAATTCTAAAACACAAGCACTATGATTTATTGTTCAAGTAGAAGTACGTAATTAATGTCTTGCTTGGAAGTTACCCTAAATTATCACATTAAGAGCATCTCCAATTCTATAATGTGCACGGTGCACATGTGGCATGAGAGAGATAAATATAAAATAATGTGTTTTTGGTAAGTTTTTCTCTGCAATGTCAACCACAATGTCTACATCTAAACATTGTGTTTGACACTGTGAAGAAAAACTTACCAAAATGATGTAAGATCCTTCAAATAAGGAAAGAGATATTCTTTTTGTTGTTTTTTAATTGGTTATTCTCATGCCACATATGCACCGTTAACCTTTTAGCATTGAAGATGCTCTAATACTCCCATATTAAAGCATGGTAATGCCAAATATGGCAGTAAATTTCATTATGGCAGCCCAACTGCCCAACCATTAGAGAATGTGTTGACGCGACACACATGTGGGGGCCCGATCGGTCATCTGTTGACGTGGTGCACATGTGGACAGACACATGTGCGCCACATCAGCAGGTGACCTGCTGGTATGACAAATAACCTGCAAATGGACTTAATTGATCGTTTTTACAAAGTTCAGAGATTTGATTGATTTTTTTGAAGTACAAGGATCTAATTGTCTTTTTTGTGATAATACGAGGACCACAATTTTCTCTTTTTATATATAAAAAAACCTTGATCTTTCAACGATATTTAGCCTGTGGAGACCATTCTCTCGGATAACAGTATAACACGTGCTTGCGTATTGTGGGACGAGTCAAACTTGAAAGCATCTTTTCCCTTCAAATCCAACACTCCACATAGTGTATAAAAAAAACAACTAAAAGTGGTCGAATTGCTTTTATTCCGAAATGCAAGCCGAAACAAACATCTGTTTACAACAATGAAAGAAAATCCATTGTAAAAATGAAATGAAAGAAATAATAATAGTAATAGTAATAATAAAATAATAATTATAATAATAAAGGAATTTAAGTAAGAATTTCCCAAGTACATATAATCACAGCCTCACAGGTGGCTAGAAGAAACCACAGCAGCATGAAACAAACAAGACCCAATAAAGAATTTCAAAATAAACTTATCACGGGTAATGGAAAGTCTATATCCGGTGAATAGAATGTGGAACACATCAATTTAAGAGCATAAGAGAGCCTGTTGACTTGCTATCATTTACACCATTCAGTAACTGCCCGAGAAATGAACTGGAAAGTTTGATTTTCATCTTTTCTTCCACCAGGTACAGCAACTCTTCTGCCAGATAAGTAAAAAAGAGGCCGAGAAGATTATAAAAAAGGATGATAAGTCATTTATGATCACAAAAGTGAACAACAATTAAAGTCACTATGGAATACCTGATATTTATGGTCATCCTCTTGGTTCACTGTGTTCGAAGAAGGAGGTCGTGTTGGGGTCCGTGAAATGTTTGAGGTAACCACTGCAAGCCTTTCATCTCGTACTTTATTGAAAATGTATGAGTAGTTATCTGCTGATTGGGGATTTTTCTCATCCCATTCCCCAAATTTTGGAAGTGCAGCTGCTCCCCTATCAGGCTGCTCAAAAAGCCAATAAGATTATCAACACTTGATATTTCAAACGCACAAGCATTTAATGAAATCTCGAACATCCATTCTATTTGCCCATATGCACTTCTCATCATTTGTTCATGTGCAGGCCTGTCTCAATGATTTTGTGGAGACATGGCAAACTAATAAAGGGAGACCCTAAATAAAAAGCAAGTTGATATTTTTAAGAACAAACACCATAAAACCCCAATCATATGGTAGAGGATTGGCACGGATCCCTAATTATTTATTTATATTTTAAAATATCAAAGTAGATTACACAGGGGCTATAGTGAGCCTTATATCTAAGGAAATTGCATAAATAGGACTAAATCCTACACAAGACATTTCTTCAAATATGACCATCAGTGTTTGTGCCAAAAATATTAAGTAGAATTATAAATTTATAACACCTTAGTCCTTGTGTTTATATTATTATTCATTTTTAAAATTAAGTGACTACCTATTTTTGGGCACAAAAAAAGGATACTCCTATTAGTACACATTACTCATACCTCATTCCTATTTAAGGTAACATTTTTATCTCTCAAAATAACAATGCAAGCTGCAGCTTGATAAAAAGTTGTGCACCGCATACTCTTTAAACTTACACAAATGCAACTAATCGAGCTATCCACATTATTGGTCTCTTCAAACTTTAGTAATACGTAGTATAAAATTATTTATTTGAAGACATAGGTCGAGCCCTTAATAAAAAGTGAGAATACCTACTAAGAGATGAACATACGAACATAATATCATTTTCATCATTTTCATTTACCCCAGTGCCGCAAAGGCTCCCACCTACGGTGGGGTAAGGGGGGGTCGGATGTACGCAGTCTTACCTCTGTACTAAAGCACAGAGAGACTGTTTCCGGATGACCCATAGTGAAAATCGCATCCAAAATTGCATGGACTGACTGCTGCTCCATAGAAAAGAAGCGCAGACAGTTTAGTGGGTCATTTTGCTTTATTCCATCATAATCTCAAGCCAAAAAATAATGAATCTTTGGCTCCATTGCAAATGATGAAAAAACATACGAACATAATATATTGGAACTAAATACTATGGGGATTTGGGAGGAAAACCTCAACCCTTAAGCCTAGATATACTACAAGTGTAGAAGATGAGATCATCAACCTACAAGGGCAATCCCGGCTATCTGGCGTGACAATAACGATAAGAAACCGATGGTTGAGATCTAAATTAATGATGGGAAAATGAAGAATAAATAATGTGATATATCGTAAAAATTCCTTACGCTTTCAAGCTTCTGCCGGGATCTTCCAGGAGTAGTGCCATAGGACCTTCCAGGTGTACCTTGATGGCTATTACTATTATTATAAGACCTTCCAGGTGTTGTACCACGACTGCTTTCATGTGAATTCCTTCTTTCTCGAGGCTTCTCCTGATGAAGTTGTGGGTGGTAGGGCGATTTTTCAAAGCTGCCTGCACTTTGTCTAGCAGGATGTGATTCACTGCGTCTCTGGCCCACAGTGTTTCCACTCCGTGCTGGAGAACTAGATTGATGATTCAAGTAGTCGCCTTCATCTTTACTCAACCGATGCTTCTCTGTGGTAGGTGGTTCCTCATATTGAAGAGCTATGGGTTTAGCTGTAGCAGGGTTGGGTGCAACATCAGAAGGAAGAGCTTTACCAGGAAACATATCTGGATTTTCTTGGGGATCATTTGGATTTGTAATCTTTCCTCCTCGTTTTTTACTTGCCTTTTCAAAATATATTGTGTAGGGAACATCTTCTTCGCTATCCCAGTTCCCAAATGTCGGGACATTTGAACCCTGCTTATTAGATGGAACAGTAAGGTCCCTTTATATATATATATATATATATATATATATATATATATATATATATATATATATATATATGATTCATCAATAATCACAAAATATCCCACTCTTCCAAGCTATACAATTCTCTTAATAATAATAGGTAAGATCATCGGCTATCAAGCAAATAGAAACTATAAACAACAACAAAATTATCATCTTAATTTCAGAAGACAAAATCTAAAAGAAGCACCCAAATAATAAAGCAGCACACGCAAGTGATGCAACCAGTACAAAAGAACTTCAAATTCAGGAAATAAATTATGTAACAGCACAAGAAACTAGTCATAAAAAGTTTATCAAATATCAATCTTACAAACAATGTGCCAGAACATAAATCAGGATTATCAAATAAGTTGTTGAGCATTCATTTAGTACTCTCAAAATGGGGGCTCATTAGAACCGATCAGCCTTGAAATCCGCTGTTATTTTTAAGTCTTAATCGTATTGAATTGCTCATTTCTGATACCATATTAAGATTTGAGTTTTCATCCTAAAATTTAAAACATGAGAATCTTAGTCTTCAAACTCCATTGATATCATATCATTTTTATAAGCCAGTACCCTTCAATCGCAACTACATATGTAACCCGAAGTAAATAACAAACATAATTACATGTATAAGTATTGAACCTAAATCAAGAATTCTCAAAAACTCATTAAGGGTTGGTTCAATCATTTGTATCCAGGCGCTAAGCATACTCAGTCACTCACAAATATATGTATGTGTGTAATCAACATGATCAAACAAGGGAATCGTCGATCGTGACATTCAATTCCATTCAATTCAACTACATCAAGATTTAAACTCCCAGAATTCACAACATCAAAATGAAGCTTGAGAAATACGCAACCCCCAATGAGTTTGAGCATAATAAGAAAGGGGAACTTACAGCCATGCTTCTTCACCAAGCTCTCGAATCACAACCGCAGAGAGGGGAGAGGAAATGTTCGAGAGAAGTGATACGAAAGAGAGGGAGAGAGAGTTGCTGGGAGAGGTTTGATTAGAGAGAGAGACCGACAGAGCGAAGAGAGTAATCAACCATTGAACAGCGCCACCGGTAATGTTTGACTATTCCACTCTCCTTTCCTCTCCATATTCAAGTCTTCTTCCCTATCAAAGTCTCCGGTCTTCCCTCCGTATTCCACCGCACTTTAATGCCTCTTACCACTGTCAAATGAATCCATCGACGGCGACGAGCATATGTACAAGGAATTATTTATTCACTTTGGTAGAAAAAATAGGATTAAATATAGACAAAGTAAAATGGGAATTTTTCACAAATAAGCTTAAAACAGAAAATAATATCACTTTTTTTATTTTTTTATTTTGTTTTCAAAAATAGACTATACTAAATTTTCTTTTCATAAATAGTCCGTTGGTTGGTGCTTAAACCATCAACGAAATGTCTAGCCTTTCCTTAGAAGAAGTGGGATTACGGATCAATCTCCAGACTAGCTCACACGTTAGTTAATAAACTTACACTCCATACAAACTCAAGGAGTAACTTAATTGCATTATTCTGAGTGGACTAAATTTTTGTATTTCTTAATAGAAAAATCTAAAATTTATTAAAAAGTCAAAAAATGAAATTAAAAATGAAAAAGACTTAAAATAGATTAAAACGTGGGAAAATTGTACAAAAATAACAAGTATTGTAAAAAAGTTAATGAATAGATTAAAATATATAAATATAAAAGTATAAAAAAGTAAAAAAATATAAACTTTCTTAAAAGTGAAAAAACATAAATTAAACTTTACAAATTAGAATCTTAAACTTACTAAAACTAAATTAAAAATTTTAAAATATTAAAAAACATGAAAATAGCTTTAAAAAATTAGAAAGAGTAAAAGTTTCAGAATAAAAACTAGATAAAATAATAAAAATTAATATATATATATATATAATTTTAAGAAGCGAAAAAAATTAAACTTTTAATAAAAATTTATATAAAAAATACATTATATAATTTTTTTCTAGTAAAATATATAAAATAAAATTTTAAAAATCAGAAAATTAGTAAAACTTAAAAGTGTGTAAAAACTAAAATAAACTCCTAGAATTAAAATATGAAAATTTAAAATGATGAACTTTAAAAATAATTACATATTCAAAAAAATATGGATTTTCTAATGTAATTTTTCTTAGAGTACTTAAAATTTTAATTATTAGTATTATCATTTTATTGTTACTTTTTGTTTCTAATGATTTCTTTGTGTTTCTTTTTGTTGATAATTCTGAAATTTTTGTTTCTTATTGTTTCTTAATGTATGAGGTTGCTTTTCATATGCGAAAATCGAAATTGAACATTTTTTGTGTTTGCATACAAATCGTTTGTTTTTTTTTTAATTTCCCAGGAGTAGTCAAGATGGAGAGAAACCTAAATATGAAACAACAAAAATTAAAATAAAAAATAAACAACAATGAACAAAACATTGCAACAAAAAACAACATGATACAACAAAATGAAACAAATTACAACAAAAAGCAACAAATTTCATGCAACAAAAAGAAACAAAAAACAACATATAAATGTATCACACCTAATAAAAAAAGGGGTATGCACTATGTAGCAAAGGCCAACAAATTGTTTTTTTACACAATAAGATGAGAATTTATTCTGCATTAATTCTACACTGTTAATTTTTCTGATAAGATGTCCAGAATTATGAGACAAAAAAGGGAAGACTTCAAGTTGCAACTTCAGTGCAGGATGGTGCAGTTTGTCTCTTTTCTCTTCATTTCCCTTGTCAATCTTGAGAGTCTTGCAACTTAATGTACTTCTTTTCTATTATGTGCCTTCTATGAGAATGCAATCACTACGACACAAAATCTGAATAACAAAATGATACATCTTGAAAGGTGATAAATAGAACTGTAAACAACAATAAACAATATGTATGATACAACAAAATGATACATGATGCAACAAAAAACAACATAATGTAACAAAAAACAACAAAAGCAACATATAGAAGTATCACTATAAATATATATGTCAAACTATTATTCATTGTATTACATTTATTTACTTTGGCTTTGCATCTTATCATTCATTCCTCTTTTAAGTATCCATATTTGTGAAAGATTAATTCCTCTAAGCTTTGAATTTACTCCGGAGAATCTGATGCTATGATGACAGAGTATCTACACAACTAAACGTACTCTAATCTTTCTTTATGAAGTTCTTACTAGCATATCATTCACAATAGGGAGACAATAATTAGATAAGATTATGTGATCGATGTAAAATTTATTCTGAAAAAGCTATTATAATGGGGATATTCATAATTGTTGAGATTGATACCAATATCATAATCAAGTCTACAAAACTTCTTTGCAGCACCATCATATCATACACAATTGTATTCTACTTCTACTGAAACAACTAGTGAGGGTTTTAAATACATGCAAAGTCATAGAGGGCTTGCATAGTTAGAAGAATAGATCAATAATAAAAGAAGAATTACCTGATCAAAGCTGGAACACTCAATCACCTGCAATTTTAACAAATTTATGTTTTAATAAAAAAAGAACCATTAAATATATAAAATATTTCTATATAGAAAACATTTAATACGATTTATTGATAACTGGTATATATGAAAGTTGTTACTCCCATGTAGAGGTGATTGATCTTATTGGCAAAATAGACAGGGAGTATTTAGGATGAATCATATATGATGAATGTCATTCATATCAATAAATAAATATGTACTGAATTTAAGGAAAATATATCATTGGAGAAGTGCATTTCTGTAAACATGTACCGAAGAGTGAATCAATATAATCAATATAAACATGTTGTTGGAGCAGATGTTTATGCAGGCAGAATGTTTGTAAAAGCATTACAAGTACACTCAAATTTGGTTTAAACATATATAATAAGTACACATAGATCAAGAAGCTTCAAATCAAATACTTCATAAAAAAGTTTGATAGCAGCATACTTGGAAGATGAAGAAGCAATTCCACTAGTGAAAAATATGGATTTAATAACGGTTATAATGGACTTTTAATAACGGTTCAGAACCGTTATTGTTCCAGCACCTATTAAAAGTTCGGTACTTTTAATATGGGTTCGGGAACCGTTATGGAAAGTTCTTTAATAACGGTTCAATTGGGCTTTTAATAACGGGTATAGACGCTCATGTTAAAAGTCCGGGACATTTAATAAGAGTTATTACTGAACCGTTATTGAAACATTAAATAACCCATATTAAAGATTTTCAATAACATTAAATAACCGAACCATTATTGAAACATTAAATAACCCATATTGAAACATTAAAGTCCGGGACATTCAATAACGGTTACACATTAACCGTTATTAAAGATTTTCAATATGGGATTAATCAACCCATATGAAATGTCTTCCTAACATTTAATTCATACCCAACTATTTCTAAATATCAGAAATTTACCCATATCATCATAGGAACATTTATCTCAACAAGGTAAACACATATCATTATATTGCTCATAACTAATAACATTCCACATTCACATTGTTTTGATCCAAAAATATTTAGCAAAAACTAAGTATGAGTTCACAACATTCATCAAAAACTAACTTTGAGTTCACTAAAACCTATGTGTTCAAAAGACTCGTCAAAAACTAGCTAAGAGCTAAGTCTAAAAATTATATCAAATATCTATAACTTCGCAGAAAAATGACGCTCAACGCTCTCGTGTCTCGTTGATTTCTTGATCAGTGAATGACTCTTGAACATTGAATGCCTACAAATTAAATAATGAAACTAAATGGATTACAAAAATCATGAAGTAAAAGAAATAATATGTACAATAACAAAAAAATCACAAGTATATGAGAACAAATAAGCTAAAACTTCACCTTCATCCAAGAATCAACAATACCAGCAGAAACTTATGTTCTGTTGAAGCTTTGGACAGCAGACAAATGGAAGTGGTGGATTGAACGCTTTTCAGATCAATAGTGTACAGATTTGATGTTCTGTAACACGTTAATAATGTAATCTCCATGCTGTCTAGAACACAACATTGTTTTGCAAAGAACCTCACTTCCATCCCGATGTCACAGAATTGCCCTATGCTCAGTAAATTGTGTTTGAGTCCTTTGACAAAAGAAACATCTTTGATAGTGACACTGGCACAGATGACGTCCCCATACCCAAGAATAGGAGATGAGGCGTCATTCCCAAATCTGACATTGCCTCCGTAACAGTTGGTGTAGTTGCTCAACAGGTATTTTATTCCGGTCATGTGGGTTGAGCATCCTGAGTCTAAATGCCACACATGACCATCCTGCAAAACAATCAAACAGATTTAGGTACCCATCTTGGAGTGGGTCCTGCCTTATTAACAAAAAATACCTTTCTAAATCTTGCTTTTAGCTGTGATCCAAGGTCAGCAGCTTTTTCAACAAAAGATCTTTCTCTTGTGGACTCTCTAATAGCCAGATCTGCTTTTGCAGTGGGTCTGGTTTTTGGAGCCCACTTAGCAGTTTCCATTTTGGTGGGTCTGATTTTGTGAACCCACCTTTTCGTTTTAGTCTTGGTGGGTCTGTTCTTGGGGACCCACCTTTCAGATTCAGTTTTGGTGGGTCTCTTCTTGGGGACCCACCTTTCAGTTTCAGTTTTGGTGGGTCTCATTTTGGGGACCCACCTGTCAGTTTTAGTTTTGGGAGGAGAGTAGACATGTGCTTTGTGATTGAATGGTTGTTTCTTAAGTTTGGTTTTAAAAATTTCCTCTTTATAAAGCCTATTAAGATGTTTCCTTGAATGAACTCGGAGAGGATATTTCATATCAGGTATACAAAATATTCCCTTAGAAGTTCTGTTCTCGGTTTCCCTTTTTGATTTGAGCTTCCTGTGAGGCTTTGCTTTAACAACATTCACATCACATTCATAATTATGAGGGTCTGGAACAGAATAACCATAAGCAATACTTGAATTATAAATTGAACAATGTCTAGAAGATGTCTCAGAAATATTCAGCTTGGGACTCAAGACTGAACTACTAGAAGCTTGTTTCTCAGAGACAGAATTACAATTAGCTTTAGAATAAAAAATAGAACTGGATCTAGGGCTGGCTTTATTTCCAAAAACTTTCTTTTTGCCTTCTGCGATTTCCTCCCTCTTCTTCCTCCACTCACTCTTCTCTTCTCCTTCCTTCTTCACTTCTTTTCCTGTAAGCAAAGGAGAAGAGAGATGAGTGGACG